ACAAGATTTTCAGGGTATAAAGTTTGGAGAGTCAAAACTCCCTGTGTCAGATACAAGTAGATACAAGGGATCTTCATGCCCACTTGTATCTGACGAAGGGAGCTTTGACTTTTGAGAGCTTGTACCCGGACGATCTTGTTGGTCTCTGAGGTGCTACTGGACTTGATCTAGCCATTTTACAGCAGACCAACAGGGCTCCCCTCCTGAAATGATAGAGCAGCCTTCTCTGCTAGGCCAGTGAGAATGGTCCCTGTTGCTTGACGATCCCATTGTAAGAGGCCTGTGGGGTATACTGCACAGAGTCTTGCTGATCTTCTTTGGGACATGGAAAAGGTAGAGGCAGAAGGGATTTGCTTTACACCCGTTATTAATTTCATTTATTAATTTGATTTATTAATTTGATTTATTAATTTGATTTATTAATTTGATTTATACCCTGCCCTCCCCACCGAGGCAGGCTCAGGGTGGCTAACAAGGCTGTTTGGCTTCATGAAGAATAAAACCATTAAATTAAAACCATCCGATCATTTAAAAGACAACAGACATGAAATGGCAAAGTTGTCCAGTCGGCCACCATAAGAGAAAACAGTGACCGGTCTCTAGCTCTTCAGCGTTTTGCTCGATCATATGGGCATAGGTGTTAAACAGGCGGCCAGAGTAGATTGTGGGGATAGAATTCACGGCTTGATAGTAGGCCGTCAAATGTGGCATCTCGCCCAAATGCTTGGCGGAAGAGCTCCGTCTTGCAGGCCCTGCGGACTTCTAACAAATCCTGCAAGGCCCTGATGTATTCAGGGAGCTCGTTCCACCAAAGTGGAGCGGCCACAGAGAAGGCCCTGGCCCTAGTTGTGGCCAGCCTGGCATCTTTCGTGCCAGGGAGAGCAAGGAGGTTTTGTGAACCTGACTACAGTACTCTCTGGGGAACATGTTATTTAACATCTAGATGCACCCCCTCGCCCAGATTGCCCGAAGGCATAGGCTAGGGTTCCATCAATACGCAGATGACACCCAGCTATATCTGTTGTTGGGCGGTCAGTCTGACTGTATCCCAAATGACCTGGAGGGGGCGCTTCAGTGTTAGCCGAATTGCTTTATTTACAGCAATTGGCAATTTATAAACTGGTTCTTGCCAACTATACCAAGGTCTTGTTCCCACCAAGGGTTACCAGAGAAGGAGTCGAGGCTGGCATTGTTAAAATAAATGTCTTTTACTTAAAAAATATAAATCTCATACAAACAATACCGATGCACTCACACATTCAATCAAGTTCCTTAGAAATACAGTATTAAAATAAGCACGGTTGCATTAGCAGGTGGGGGTGATGATGGGCAATACTTATCTGTCTTCGCAGCTTCGTTGTTCCAATGAAGAATGGAGGGGAAGAAATGGAAAACTAAGGGAATTCACACACGACCAGAACCAGCCAGAATGTGTGGGCAGTGGAGGCAAGGGTTGGGGATAGCAAATGGGACTTAAGAGGGGTAAAAGCAGACAGGGGTTGTTGCGGGGGAGATGCTAGTTGATCAAGTAGGAGAGAGAGAGACCATGTGACTGGTTCTCTTCTTTTATCGGGGGATCCAGGAGGTGGGTGGTGACCGTGCCAACCTCCTGGCCCACCTCCCTGTTAGTCCATCCCAAACACAATCCTACTGGTTGCATGTAGGGAGGGTTGGTTACCTAACAGGAGTGGCCAATATTGAAATCTAATACCTTACTCAAAGAAGGGCATCTGGGCAGGTGTGAAAACCTTACCTGTCTGAAATTCCCCCATGTGACTGGTTCTCTTCTTTTATCGGGGGATCCAGGAGGTGGGTAGTGGCCGTGCCAACCTCCTGGCCCACCTCCCTGTCAGTCCGTCCCAAAAACAATCCTATTGGTTGCATGTAGGGAGGGGGGGTTACCTAACAGGAGTGGCCAATATTGAAATCTAATACCTTATTCAAAGAAGGGCATCTGGGCAGGTGTGAAAACCTTGGCGTCAGGAAGCTGGCCATTCTATTGTAAACCAAATGTCCACTTGGCAGGAAATACCAATGCAGGAAAAAAGCAGTGATGCGTCCTACGTGATCACAAATGATTCTGCAATGGGGGCTGTCTCGGCTCAAGTTGTTGTTTCTCACTGCTCACAATAATGGAGGTGCGTGCTTCTTCACCAGGCTGGTGACTGTGTAACTGAAACCTTATTTACACGTGTAAGGTTTGTGCAGGCACCTTCTGTGTGTTGCATCACAACAGGTCACTTAAAGTGTACAGTTCTTTGAGCCTATGTGTGTGTGTGCACAGTCCATTGTGTGTGTAGCAATAAACGTAAGCCCATAAAGCAAAATATCAAGTTCATTCTCTAACACCAGGACATGGCGGGCTGGCTTAGGCGGAGTCGATTGAAATTGAATCCAACGAAGACGGAGGCCCTGTGCCTGAATCGGAGCGGGTCGGGGGTAGGGATCCCACTCCCGACCTTCGATGGGGCACTGCTGGTGCCAGCGCCGGGGGTTGGGAGCTTGGAAGTGCTCCTGGACGCCGCCTTAACAACGGAGGCCCAGGTAGCAGCCACTGCCAAGGCGGCCTTCTACCATCTATGACTGATTAGGCAGCTGGTTCCCTTCCTCGAACGCAATGACCTGGCAACAGTGATTCATGTGATGGTCACCTTGAGATTAGACTACTGCAACGCTCTCTACATGGGGCTGCCCTTGTCTCAAATCCGGAAGCTGCAGCTAGTGCAAAATCGGCAGCCAGGCTGTTGACGGCTCTCTCTATACGAGACCACATCCGGCCTGTGCTGAAGGCATTGCACTGACTGCCAATAGCTTACCGGATTCGTTTCAAGGTGCTGGTTTTGATCTTTAAAGTCCTATATGGTTGGGGGCCTGCCTACTTGAGGGACCACCTTTCCCCATATGTGCCCCAGAGAACACTGAGGTCAGGGACACAGAATTGTCTGACTCTCCCTGGCCCGAGAGATGCCAGGTGGGCCATTACTAGAGCCAGGGCCTTCTCAGTGGCAGCTCCACTCTGGTGGAATGAGCTCCTGGAGGACATCAGGGACCTGTGGGACCTTTTACAGTTCCGCAGGGCCTGCAAGACGGAGCTCTTCCGCCAGGCTTTCGATTAGGAGCCGCCACTGACGAGCGAGCCACCGGAACATACTACGGCCCTTCTAATACACCTTTGGATTCTGCCATCCACTATGGGATTGTATACTGAATGGCGCCATCATTTCCACCGTCTTCATTAGCACTTTTACCATGTTATGCAAGTTGCTTATGTGTATTTTATTTTATCTACTGTTTTATTGCATTTTAATGTTTGTACGCCGCCTTGAGCCAGTTCGCCTGGCAAGACGGGATATAAATTGAAATAAATAAATAATAATAAATAAAGCTGAGAGAGCTCGGACAGAAACTGCTCTTTTTCATCTCTTATCAGAACTATGGCTTGCCCAAGGTCATCCAGCCAGGTGCAAGTGGAGGAGTGGGGAATCAAACCCACTTCTCCCAGATTAGAGTCTGCACACTCAACCACTACACCAAACATGCCTATTGGTCTCCTTCTACAGACTCTCTGTTGGCTGCCCATTTGTTACTGAGCTCAGTTTAACCCCTCTTATTTGCAACACTGCCTCTCTCCCTACGCTCGGCCACGATAACTGGGCATCTTGTCAGCAAATGAGGATCTGGCCCAGACTGAGTTTAGGTAGCCTGCAAGAAGGTAACTTCTTGAAGCCAGACCTTGTCTACCTCGGATCGTGCTTCTCCTTGTGTTATGAGAGCCGGTCTGGTGTAGTGGTTAAGCGTGTGGACTCTCATGTGGGAGAACCAGGTTTGATTCCCCACTCCTCCACTTGCAGCTGTTGGATGATCTTGGGCAAGCCATAGTTCTGTCAGAGCAGTTCTTGAAAGAGCTCTCTCAGCTTCATCTACCTCACAGGTTGTCTGTTGTGGGGAGGGGAAGGGAGAGGAGTTTGTAAGCCGCTCTGAGACTCATTGGGTAGTGAAGGGCGGGGTATAAATCCAATCTCTTCTCTTTTTCTGCTTCTTTATAGCTTGCTTGGATCCTTTGCTCACATCTGGGTCTTCTAAAAATGACAGTAGTTCATTCTCTGATTTCCTGAACATAACATTTTAGGGTCACCAGCATAAGTGCGCCAGCAGAAATGAAGCTGCACACCAGAAGCAGAGATTTCCAAGATGAATAATAAATTACTTTCCAAGATAAATAACAAAGAAGAAGAGGAGGAGGTTGGATTTATACCCCACCTGTCACTACCCAAAGGAGTCTCAAAGCGGCTTACAAGCTCCTTTCCCTTCTCCTCCCCACAACAGACATCCTGAGAGGTAGGTGGGGCTGAGAGAGCTCTGACAGAAACAGCTCTTTTTCAAGAAAAGCTCTTATCAGAACTGTGGCTTGCCTGAGGACATCCAGCAGCTGCAAGTGGAGGAGTGGGGAATCAAACCCGGTTCTCCCAGATGAGAGTCCGCGCACTTAACCACGACACCAAACTGACACTGTATAAAATCAGATGCTATAGATGTTCTCCACAGGACGTCTACTCTTCAGAGACTTCAAATTGAGGATTATGTTCCCATCCAGAATCAAATATTCTCCTCTACCACCTATTTCTGGAATGCCCAAAGAGGTCATATTCCCCCCCCCCATCAAATATTGGTGACATCAAACACTCAAAAAATCTTTCCATTAAAGAGAGTTCTTGGCCTTTTATATGTCTTTCATAAAGTTGGTGGTGGTGGTGGGGGAATGAGAGAGAAAATCATCCATAGCTGACTGACCTCACATCCTCGACCTTGAATTATTAGATGAGGCCTTGTGGCGTGAAAAGCAATACCTTGTGAATTTTAAGAGAAATGCGTAATGAGAATGACGGTATGGATAGGCAGATCTGTCCACCAGTATATATAGTTGAGGCCATGGAGGCAAAACCCTCAAGGACTTCTCCATCGTTGCTCCCCAAAGAACCAACTTGGCGTCGACTGCGACCATGTCTTATAATACGCTGGCCTTCTGCGTCTTCTCCTTCCTGGCTCTCTCGTCGGCCTGCTACATCCAGAACTGCCCGATTGGAGGGAAGCGCTCCACCCTGGATGTGGAAATCAGGAAGGTAAGTCGTGGGGGGACTGAGGACTGTGAGTTTGTGTTAGGTGTAGGAAGGAGAAGGAGAAGGAGAAGGAGAAGGAGAAGGAGAAGGAGAAGGAGAAGGAGAAGGAGAAGAAGAAGAAGAAGAAGAAGAAGAAGAAGAAGAAGAAGAAGAAGAAGAAGAAGAAGAAGAAGAAGAAGAAGAAGAAGAAGAAGAAGAGGAGGAGATTGGATTTATACCCCGCCCTTCACTACCCAAAGGAGTCTCAGAGCGGCTTACAAACTCCTTTCCCTTCCCCTCCTCACCACAGACACCCTGTGAGGTAGAAGAAGAAGAGATTGGATTTATACCCCGCCCTTCACTACCCAAAGGAGTCTCAGAGCGGCTTACAAACTCCTTTACCTTCCCCTCCTCACCACAGACATCCTGTGACGTAGGTGGGGCTGAGAGAACTTTGGCAGAAACTGCCCTTTTTCAAGGACAGCTCTGACAGAACTGTGGCTTGCCTAAGGTCATCCAGCAGGTGCAAGTGGAGGAGTGGGGAATCAAACCCGGTTCTCCCAGGTTAGAGTCCACGCACTTAACCACTACACCAGACTGGCTCAAGCCTTTTCGGCTTGACCGATAAAAGAAGCTCGATGTCTTCCTGCACGGACATTAGCGTGCGGGTGTGAGAAGGGAGAAGCAGTGAGGTTCCCCTTGGCCCGATATCTGGGGATAGGGTTACCAACTCCAGGATGGGAAATTCCAGCGGATGCGGAGATGAAACCTGGGGAGATGAGGCTTTGGGGAGTTGAGGGACCTGAGCAGACTCTAACATCATGGCCGCCCAGGACAAGGAAGGATCGCCTCAGGCAGGGAAGCCCAGAATTGCAAGTGGTACTCGGTTTGAATCTTTGAGGACACAAATGGATGCAGGCTAGTGATTTTGTGGGCTTGATTAATCCAGAGTGGTAGGGTGTGTTATGGTGAAGACATCTGTCATTCCAACATGGGGGTGGAAAGCGCCTTCAAGTGACAACTGACTTACGAGCGTCATCTGGTTCTCTCCCCCTCAGTTCAGAAAGATTGATAGTTTCAGGCCTGTAGCTAACCAGGGGCCCATGGGGCCCGGCCCCCTGGTGGTTTTAATGGGCCCCCTTCCCAATCCTTGGCAAACTAATTTATGTGGCAGCTCTCTCTCTAATTTATTGCTCTCTCACAACTTTAATGGCAGTAGCTCACAAAGTAGAAGTTTTGCTCACAAAACTCCACAGCTTAGAGGGAACATTGGTGGTCGGCCCCCTGAGAAAAACATGGGCCCCCTGAGCAAAAAGTTGTTAGCTACGGGCTGTGCTGGTCAAAGCGAAATAATTCCTCCCAGATCTGCATAGTATGAAAAGGAAACCGGGGGGGGGGGGGGGGGTGTAGATCTCCAATAAGCTGCTTTACTTATAGTTTTATAATATTCTTGCTGTACGAAAAGAGAGGAAACAAAAGTTAAGAGATCAGACCTAACTGGTGTGTGTGTGTGGGTGATTTCCCACAAGCGCTGCTCCGCGCTCACTCCTCCCTTTTGCCCTGATGGGACGTATCAATTTCACACAAGCTGCTGCGTGGCTGCATTTTGCCCCACAGCTTTATGTGATTTTCCCCGCGTCTACTCAATCCTCAAAAAACAGGATTGAGTAGACGCGGGGGAAATCGAACGAAGCTGCGGGGCAAAATGCGGTCGCAGCAGCTTGTGTGAAATTGAAACGTACCACTGGGCCAAAGAGAATAGGGAGCGTGAAATTGAAACGTACCACTGGGCCAAAGAGAATAGTGAGCGCGGAGCAGCGCTTGTGGGAAATCACCCTGTGTGTGTGTGTGAAAAGCCGGGGGAAGTCCAAAAAGGAAATGGTGAAGGTCTGCTCTTGCTGGCGTATGCCTTCGTCCTCCCAGGGTCTTGATGTCATCAGAGCTTTTCTGGAAAAAAAAAATCCAGGTGAGCTCAGCTGTCGAAGTCCTTTCTTAGCCAGTTTAGTGTAGAGGTTAAGTGCGCGGACTCTAATCTGGGAGAACCGGGTTTGATTCCCTACTCCTCCACTTGCACCTGGCTGGATGACCTTGGGCAAGCCGCAGTTCTGATAAGAGCTGTTCTTGGAAAAAAGAGCAGTTTCTGTCAAGAGCTCTCTCAGCCCCACTGACCTCACAGGGTGTCTGTTGTGGGGAGGGGAAGGGAGAGGAGTTTGTAAGCCGCTCTGAGACTCCTTTGGGTAGTGAAGAGCGGGGTATAAATCCAATCTCCTCCTCCTATTCCTCTTCTTCTTCTTCTTCTTCTTCTTCTTCTTCTTCTTCTTCTTCTTCTTCTTCTTCTTCTTCTTCTTCTTCTTCTTCTTCTTCTTCTTCTTCCTTGGTTCCCCCCCCACACACCAAGGAAGAAGGGAAGGGTGTGGTAAAGATGCCTCCCTCCAACGTTTACGGCAAAACGTCCTCACTGGGGTAGAGACAAAGCACAGAGTGGTTCTAGCGAGCAGCCATGTTCACGGGAAACCAAGTTGCAACTGACTTAACAATGACCCTAGAAAGTTCTCAAGGCAAGAGACACTGAGAGGTGGTTCCCCACTGCCTGCCTCTGCATAGCAACCCTGGGCTTCCTTGGTCGTCTCCCATCCAAGTACCAAACAGGGTCACCCCTGCTTAGCTTCCAAGATCTGATAACGTCGGGCTAGCCTGGTCCGTCCTGGTCAGGGCTCTTTTAATATAACCCGAATGAAATACAAAGGACGATGTCTGGAAGAGGTACTAGTGGAGATCGTGAGATGTCCTCGCAGCAAACGTTCGGTAAGGTTACCGTTTCCCCCCACTGGCCCCTGTGGTGTCCTTAATGCTAGGCATCAGAATAAGTAGGCAGCATAGCATTAAATAGGAGCACAGTTTAATCACTCAGGTTCTTCCTCGGTGTGGGTTGCATTGACAACGACTTCCTGTCTCTCCGTTCCTGGCCACACCAGTCCAGGAGTCAACGGGTGGTGGTGGTGGGAAGTGCCTTCAAGTCACAGACGACTTCTGAAGACCCCATTGGGTTTTCAAAGTAAGAGAAAAACAGAGGTGGTTAACTCTTGGTGTAGTGGTTTGGTGTAGTGGTTAAGTGCGCGGACTCTAATCTGGGACAACCGGGTTTGATTCCCCACTCCTCCACTCGCACCTGGCTGGATGACCTTGGGCAAGCCATAGTTCTGATAAGAGCTCTTCTTGAAAAAAGAGCAGTTTCTGTCAAAGCTCTCTCAGCCCCACCTACCTCACAGGGTGACTGTTGTGGGGAGGGGAAGGGAAAGGAGTTTGTAAGCCGCTCTGAGACTCCTTTGGGTAGTGAAGGGCGGGGCATAAATCCAATCTTTCCTCCTCCTCCTCCTCCTCAAAAGGAAAGAACAATCTTTAGAACCCTGGAATTTTTTTAAAAAAACCTCAGCTTAATTATTACCAAATGATTGGTAAAGGTACATCTTAGGCAGGGGTCATTTCGTAGAAAAAGAGGTGCAGGAGCTCATTAGCATAACTCATTAGCATAACATTTGCATATGACAC